TGAAGGCTGTGCTCAAAACCTTGCACTGAGAAGATCAAACCTGGGCTGTGCCAAACATGACCCCAGAGACATTAAAAGGTGAAACCTATTGCCCTGCCACCCCTAAACTGACTCCTGAGTGTGAAAGGAAAGCTCAAACAGCACAGCTGATGGGTTAGTGCCAGAAATGATGACATCAAGGTTTTCCACAGAACTCTCAACATCTCAGCTTTGCAGGGCAGATGTGACCACACATCCGTGGCACGCTGAATCCTGTGACAAACTTTTTCCCCGCTCCCTGGAGCAGGAAATGAAACCAAAACAAATAGATTCCTCATGCAGAGGAGGACGTGAAATACAGACAATCCTCAAAATATTTCTGCAGTCCACAAAGCCCAGCTGTTTGTGCCAAAGGAAGAGCCCTAATGGACCCATTTCAGCCTTGCTGCTGTTACAAATGAAGATGTGCTCATTACTGGCTGTTCTTGTGAAGGACTGCAAGTGGAGGCAGCATTTCACCGAGCTACTTAAACCAGTCTGGTGAAAACACACCTATCTGCACATGAAATGAATCTCCTTCCAGTTTCCAGAAGCCTTGTTCACCTGTCAGCACCGATCTGAGGCGTGTATGTGTGATTTAACAGTTTACACAGTTGTTCTGCTACTCGGGAGCACAACAAAGCCAGCAGGAAGTGACTGCTGAGCTCAGGAACTGCTCGCACTCAGGAATTCAGACACAGCCACTTTCTCAAGTGAGTGTGGAATTCCCAACAGGGTGTTCTGCTGCAGTTTGGACTGCTACAGAGCAAAGCTAAAGTGTGCTAGACATTAAATTCTCCATGTCATTTCCCACAGAAGGGGAAAACTGGAAATCCCAGCAGAAAGGAAAACTACTCTCTTCAACCATTAAAAGCTGACCATAACATCTTCCGGCTGTGGAAGGGGATCTCCATTACACCACTTCCTTACAAGTTTTCCAAAAGTCCTACTTTACAATAAAAGAAACGCTTGACAATTTCACTGCTGCTTTTAAAAAGCTACAATAAAATCCAGCGTGGTAAACTTTGACTTGCTGATAACGCTAGTAAGTATCAAGAGGAATTACTCAGGCAGGATTTCCTACCCGTGTTCCCACCACACCTGTGCTCTCAGCTGCACCAGCGGCAGCAACAGCAGAAATATTGCTGTAAAAACCCATTTTATTCTTCAGTGGCCGCTGAGCATGATCACTGAAAACTGACATAAGTTTTTTTTAAAGGGATATCTGGAAGCTGACAGGCTGTCCATCAACAGCAGCAGAACCCTCTGGCCTGGCCCTCCCCACGTACCAGGACGCGTGTCCGGGGTCTCCAGGCTCATGGGGATGGCCACGGAGC